GAGGAGGGGGGGGGGGTAGAAGGATGCTCCTTTCTGCCTATCCGGTGTGCGCGTCCTCTTCTATCTGTTCCGCACGTTCATATGAACAAGAGAGCATTGTGGCGAGCTTATTTAGGCAGAGTACACCTGTACCCCTATTTTTTCCTTCTGAGGAAAGGAAAAAAATCGTGAGGACTTACAATCCGTCCGCGAGAGCGATTATCCACCCAATTAAGAGACAAACCTCGCGATTGTATATTGTGGACAGCGGCGTTCAATTGCAAACCTACAGTCGCCAAATAGCTCTTCAGGGATGGAAAAGGCAAGAAAAATCATGGGGAACACACCTATGTAAGGACCTTGCGGCATCTCTGGACGAGTTCTCCGGACCTGCTCGCTTTATTCCAGCAAAGCGATTCCTGCCACCTTTGGCTGAATAATCGTGTCTTCACGTCATCCAGTGCTAATAATGAAAAAAACGAGAAACACGGTGTAAAAACTGGTTCCGCGACAGAAGTGGCCTATGAGTCTTGGTGGGTGGCACAGCTAGGGAGGCGTCAGAACTGTCACTTTTGACAGCCACAGCGTCTTTATTGCTCCCTGTGAAGCCGCGAAAGTAGAATTATCTCAAAGACTGCGAACCATACTACCTGTAGGGAGAGGGACGTCTGAGAATCGCTTGAGCGCGAGGACTGTCCTTGACCACGGCTGCAGCGTGGCTGCATTACTTTACGAGATGTGATGCCTTGCCCATAGATTCCACGAAAAACTTGATCTGGCTAACCGGTAATTGAAAGTCACGTTGTAAAGACATCAACTAGTATTTTCAATGATCTGGAAACAAACTTCACGGTTTTCGTCTCACCTTCTAGCGCATTAAGCGTGTACGGTTTTGGCGGTGGAACGGTCGCACGATCTGAATAGATGCCGATGTTTGATATGGGCTTAGAATGCATATTACGTTCACATTGAGTGCCGATCTTATGTTTGACGTCGCCTTTGGAGGATCGAATGCTGATCGGCGTGGTTCTAGAGTGCTTGGGGGTGCAGGGTGAGAGAGGAACAGGTGGGAGTGATGGTGGCGTTGTGATTGAACGCGATTCAACCGTTACGAATGCAAACATAGTGACCGATGTTATGTTTACCTACACGTGATGCTTGTAAATGGAGAATAGCCCATGTGATTGCGCCTGAAATGGTCTGAAACCGCCAGGGTGTGACAATAGTGAGCCATGCCTAGGCCTGGTAGACGTGGTGATGACATTTTCATGTCTCAAATGCACCCATCTGATGAAAAACCTTCTTACGTAGTTCCCTCTCATTCCTCAGGAAACGCTGACACTTCCTAACTGCCCCCAATGGTGTCCATTGCCCAAAACCTTTGCGGGGATTTTGGCATCACTTCTTGTGCCTCTCTGTGTTTGTCCCTCTTGATATCGCTGAACCTATCCTCTAATGGGTTCACCATATCAAAGATCTAATTTTCGGTGGAATAAAGCCAGCAACGTGATGAGATCGCAGATTGTTAGGCTGAAGGAGTTTCAGGGTTTCCCCTCCTGTTTTTTGCCTGTCTGTGCTAAAGGACTTCCTTTAGTTCACGTCATCTTGCATTCGTTTAACATTTTCCCAAATCAGAGAACATACAGCTGCGGAAAAAAAACTTGGAACCAGCAAAAAAGAATCGGAATTCTCTTATCGAATTTTTTTCTTTGATTTTTTTTTCTTGAAATTGTGCACCGAAATATCGTGGATTAATAGACAAATTTGCCTGGAAGGAAACTGTGAAGCCAACCAGGCCAAAAACGGACCCTAT